CGTTGTTATAGAGCGACTGTTGAAAATAAGTGTATCGGTAAAGTTATATTCGGAAAGAATAAACCAGTTTTATTAAGAAAGGACTTGTGTTGCTAAAGTTTCGTGGGAACGAAGTTACGGAAAATCAACTAACGAACAGAGACGTAACAATATCATTGTCTTTCAACTAATCCAGCAATTACACTGGATAGATGTATGTTTTTATACTGTATAGTAGCAGAAATGTTCTTTCCAATAATGCATTCTAATTAATTCAATGGTCAGTCTTTAAAATTGTCAGACACACAAAGATATTATTACATAATTTATACTTAAGTTATATAAGACTTATGTGATATAAATCCAGTGTATGGATTTTAAGAAAGTTCAAAACACAATTACAAGTGCACGTACACTTTCTAGTTTGCTGGCCTATGAAAAAGAATGTTAAGCACATTTTTACGTTTGAAAATACCAAACTTTATCATTTAATGCAATACAAGAATTTCTCAGCTTACCCATTGGTTTCACAATATTCACAGCTGTACATTCAATAAAAAAATGAATAAGGAGACTACATAAAACCTGACTTCTTACAATATTATAATACCATTGAAAAAATAGCTAAACTTAAGGGTTAATACTGGTTCTTTCAATAACAAAAACTGAAGTTCCCAAACAAGTTTATGTTTATTTATACTTACTTAGTGTCCAATAAGAGGAACTATTGAAACATTAACAGAAGTGTTACTTATACCTATTGCCTCTATTCAATGTTGAAAAACAATGGTATTCAGATAACTTTTTTTTGGTGTAAATTTGCTGATATAAAATGTCTTAATTACTTTTTTTTGTCACATGCTTTATAAAACTTTCATTTACATATCTAACCATATTGTTTGTATCGAAACCCGAATTCTAGCGTTGTAAGTCCGCAGACATACCACCGTGCCACTGGGGGCCTAACCATACTGAACAGGAAACACAAGTTAATAGAAGTTGATAGGTTGCAAATACATGTACCAAACATCACAACTTTCCCAACACACCATTTCTAGAACTGTACTACCTGCCACAAAGAGCTTATAGAAGTCTTTAAAAATAATAAATTCATCTGCTGTACATGTGTCTTTGATTATACCAATTCTCTATTAGATCTCTGTATCTCATTCTTACAATGACCTAATGTTTTAATATAACAGAAATACACTGTTGAAAGATGCCAAACTATGTTTGTGTAAAACGATTTTATTTTTAACTGACAATTAACCCTTTCCATATGAGTAGAAGTCAGAGCACATCATAACATTTTGTAGATTTGTGTTCAAAATTTTATTAAACTACTATTTTATGAACACGTCCATAAATTTGGAATCAAATTGTAGTTTGTAATTCAAACTGTAAAATTATACATTAATAAATTTCTTAGATTGAAAGAAAATATTTAAAAATTTGCTAAGTATCGATTTTTTGTGTTTCACATTGTACGTCGTCATCAGCTTTTGCTCAGATTATATTGTAGCCATCATAAGATATAAAGTCTACAGCTTTTAATGAAATAGAAACTCAAATTACCAATATTGAGAAGCTAGAACATAAAATAAGAATCTACTACCTTTTCTATTTGATGATATATCATTATATTTAGGAAACCCACAACAACGCCTCCACCCACCTCTTCCTCTTTTGAAAATACTTGTTTACCTACGCCTACTTTTCTTAAGTACATGTTTATAACCAATCAAAAGTGCTCATTTTGAACTACGTAATCCTCTCAGCCTCCCTAAAGTATTCATGCAGGTAAAGTCATTACAACTGTTCGAAATTTTGAAAAGTGGTGATCAAAGTGATATGTTGATTGGAAAGGAGATGTTTAGGCCCAAATACGGCTTAGTTAGAATACATGATAAATTACAGTGGAATTTCATGGTATTGGTATAGTAATCTATAATTTTTTATTTCAAAGTCCATATACAAAACCTACAAAAAAAAAAATTTTCACATCCTCCACGTGCAAAATTCAATGAGGCTTAGCAAGTACAATGCGCAAGTACAAAAACTCAGTAACAAAGCAAACAGTAGAGATCATTGTTTTCTGACCATTTCTAACCAAGACAAAATCACTTAATGACTTTTAAAGATGTATTTCTAAAAATGGTTCACTTATCATGCATATATCACCAATCGCATACAGTTCTAAGTTTAAAACATCTGCTATTGATGTCTTAATGACTGTACCATCTATCAAGTGAATGGCAGTTTCTAAAAGTAGAAATATCTCCATTACTGATTCTATGATTTTCCATCTCACACATGTATCTATATGTTCATATGGAGGTCTTTTCAGAATTAGCCACGCATCCATCATTGTACCATACCATAATGGTTTCAACATAATATTCTGTGGAAAACTGGCAGATAGACTTCTATCATCAAGACATCTACAAGACAAACCACTCACTAACCTGGGTTTTCAAAGTCTTTTGGGATAATTTCTTCCTCAGGCAAGGGAAATGACACAGGGTGATGGAGGGATATAATGTTTAGAGTAAGAGGAGGCAAGCACCTCTGTATAATGGTACTAGCCTGTACCACCAAATGATCCCACGATTCATCAGAATTGGGTAAAGCATAGCACCAGGCAAGAAGAGCAGACAGAGCATTAATTTCAGTCAAAGCTTGACGTCCAGCACCTGAAAGAGAACACAATAAATACCATTTCCAATATTCATTCTTACACTGTTTGGATTAGAAATAAAACAACTTTTATATAAACAAAGAACAGGTAATAATAAAATATTATCTTATGAAATGCATAGATATTTCACGTGTACAATGAACCATCACCATAAATATATGTATTCTTTCTTATCAAGGCTTCTTCAAGTTATAAAATAAGCTACAAAGAGCAATATACAACCTTGATTTTAATAGATTCAATTCAAATGCCAAATATATACAATGAAAAATGTCATTGCATCTCACTATCAGATTTTACTTCTGCGTTACATATCACTTTTTTGTGGCCTATACCAAAATCATACATACTGCTTACCAATTCATTACATAATCTTAAGAAATGGCACACATGGAGTTATCAGCAACAAGTCTAATTACCAAGCTGTTGTATAATTACTCAAAGTTATGAAAGTTCTTAATACACTTAACAAATGTTCACTGACACAACAGGAAGATCTATTATTAGCTCTGCCATATCACTCATATAGTTTAAAAAACTCACTTGACCTCAGCATTTCAAGATTGTGATTTCTCGCGTATGTGTAGCATCTTAAAATACTCTAGAACGAATTTTTTGATTCTATTAAAAACATTACATATTCTTAAAAAGTAATTTCTTTGTGATCTCAGATAAAAGATGTGACAGATTTTTTCCTTTAATAATGTGTATGTGAAAAACAAACTAAACTGGAAATTTATGATTAGTTCTCAGGCTGTAAAAGTAAGTTCACTTTGACTAACAAGACTTATTTCAGGTTTTAAATTACAGATTACTACAGGCTTATTCATGCAGATAATTCTTACTAATATAACTGGCTGTTTCATAGTTACTTTAAACTGTATATTAACTCCTTGAGACCCAGACAAATAGATACAACATATTTGGTATAGTTTGTAAAATCACATTGTGAAATAAACTACTTTAAAACTTCAGAATTACTTTCTATACTTTTATATATGTGTATGAATTTGCAGCTTTGAAATTTTGAAAGGATTTTTTCACAACACATTTAAGAAGAATTAAAAATATTTACCCTTGTTATAGACTTTATTTAGATTTTTCACATGAAGTTTTCATTATATAAAACTGTAAATTTTATTTTTGTATTGATTTCAAAAGCAAAGCCTACTTTTGCAGTTTCATTGGCTTTACAATATCTAGTTAACACTAAAAAAAACTTTTATACCATGGCAAAATTGTAAGCAAACTATTTTTTTTTAATTTTAACACGTGTAACAAGTTTAAAACTCATTTTATATTCATTTATATATTTGTTTTTACATTTATTTTCAGTAATTTTCTTTACCCATTCAAACAGCTACTTAGGCTCACATGGCCTGATACAGCAGCCTTGTTGGAAAAATAAAACTTGAAACAATCGAACGACAAATGATTTAACTATGCTTACCTCATCTTTTTCCACAAAAAATATTTATTTGTCTATTATACTTCAACGTCATAATCCAAATGAAGTAAAAAATGATAAAGGAAGTTTTCACAAACTTAAAAAAAAAATCAGGACTGTAATTGTGGCAGAAATTGTTCACAAGTACCTTTTCTCAGAAGCTGTTTTCACTTCACTCTGTTCAAGCTTCTATGCAAATTACTACTAAGCTGGAAGCATTATTGCTTTTAAAGTTCAAAGAAATAGAAAATGAGCTTTCATGATGTGTATATCAGTAGCTAAGATTTAAGCATTTATATCACACTATGAAAACCAAGGTTGAGAAGCAGTGATTGACTAAACATTAATAAAACTCAAATTACAAGGACAAATTTTTGATATTTTGTTCAAAACTATTTTGACTTTGTTCCTGAGAACCACAAGTGCCAGAAAATTCTCAAACACTAATAACTTTGTTAGGAGTGAGATGAAATCAACCCAAATTAAAAATTTTCAACCCTTTTTTTTAACTTTTATGTATAAAATCAAATAAAAACTTTTCTTGTGAATAAAGTTCAACTATGAAGTATTTTATGTTTCAATATCTGGAAAAACTACAACTTTATTTTTTATAATCTTTTTAAATTCCATGGTGCAATTTTGTTCTTGAGGATGGCTCCATCCATCCAGGCATGAAGGAGTTACTCTATACTTAACGTTTGATAAGACTCATTAATTGTTACCTGGTTTTTGAAACTTTTGTATAACTGTCATTTGATTTAAGCAGATTTTAGAGAACAGCATTTTTCAACCAATTGGGATTCAAGAAGAAGTACTAAATTTAAGGACAGAAACTGACAGCTAGCTTTTTATATAAAATAATTCCAACAATTATATTTAAAAAAATACAAAAGGTCATTCCGAACTAAGCACAATTCAAAGAACTTAAATGGAGCAAGAAAAGTTAGTTTACTAAATCTGGCATATTTGTACATGAAAATTTAACACAATACATTCCAAAGCATTTTTGAAGAAAGTAAAACCTAAGAACTAACAAGAATAATCAACTTGGATAATTTTTTTCAAACAAACATTTAAATTTCTCAACATTATTACCTGGTGAGTTCAAAGAAAATACAACATAAGCCCAGAATAATATACTTTATGAACAAAATAATAAAAAAACTATATATACTTCACAGAGAAATCAGTGTAATAAATTAATAACAAAACATAAGTTGAGAGTCTACATAAAAAAGTTATATATCACTACTTCATGTAAGTAGAATTGCTTCAGAAAAACCACATCTAAAAATTAGAAAAATCAATAAGTTTAAGTTTTAAATTAAGGTTAGGTTTGCATGTCTCTCCTTTCATTCAAATTATGAACCCCAAAGAAATCTTACTTGAAAAAGAGCCACTGTAAAAATGATGTTAACTTTGATAAACTAGTTTAAACAACTGTTTGTTGGCAGCCATGGACTATTTGTAAGTGATATTAGGTAAAATAATTATGTGTATATATATTTCAATAATTCACAAATCAATATGAAACTTTTATAGCTTTTTTTCTTAAATTATAAAATCATATATTTCCTTGCATATCTGTTTATTAGAACATTTAATTTACATTACAGTTTTCAAGGTTAAAAGGTAAAACATAGTGTATCCAACATGTATCCCCACGAGAGTGCTCTAGAAGAAGGAAGGGACATATATTTTACTGTGAGTTTATACCACATAAAAATATTAACAAATATATAATGTGCCATCTTGATACACCTTACTGAATTTTAACTTCACAATGAAAAATTTTTTCAAAGTATATGAGTTATGTTAAAATTATTAAAGTAGTTAGTAGATAAAAAGCTAAGATGAAACATCTATCTTATTCCAAAAAATGCATTTATAATTACATCATTTTTGATAGTAGTGTTGACAGCTGCAATATAAATAATAAAAAACTGCCATGAAGTGAAAATTTTGATTACCAAATTTGAAATTCTATTGTTCCTTGTAATAAGTTTATTTTGCAGGATAATATCCTTACTGCTCAAAGAAATATTTCTTTTTGGAACACAAAAGTAGTGTATGCAATTTATAAAACTCATTTTATATCAGAGGTTTTATCTGCTACAAAACTGTATAACCTATTGAATGTTATGGAAATAGAAAGTTGGAGAAGATAATATACATTTTGAAGTAGATTCAGTCATTAAAAGTCCAGTAACAACTGAGTCTGATTCTTTGTCAATACAACTATTGTTTTTTTTTATAATACCCAATTCAGTCACAAGGTATTGAAAAGTTAGGTTTCGCCAACATAGTCTAATTAGGTAAATAATGTGTATATCAAAATGTGTAGAGTACTGACATTACATTTTATGTTATTTCCTAAGTATAGTCTTATAGCTGTTTTAGCAGGATCCAAACCAACTTACGGGAGACAGACAAATGAAGCAAAACTTGCAGAACTGCTTTAAAAATTCTTAGCATTCTCCTTCCTTTCTTACTGGCAGTTACCCAGGAGCTGGGATCAAGCAGTAGAAGTAAAGTGGCAATCCCACCATAGTGTATAACCTGTAGGGCATTTTGCCCTAATGAGAAAACAATAAATGTCATGAAACTCTGACTTAATATAGAATATACATGCATACATTAACTTGAAATAGTCTATGTATGCATGAATGAATGAATATATATAGAGTATTACTAGCAATATACAATTTCTTATGCAGTCAATACGCCCATCTGATTTTGTTTGAACAAACGATTTTAATATTGATAACTTTCACTTACTTCAATCCAGGCCCCTAATTAATTAACTTAAACTGGTAGAACATTTTTCACAAATTCACCTCTTACAGTATTTCAATTAAAGATGACACTATATTGTCATTAAAAAATCTAAAAGTTTTAATAATTAACTTAATTTCCTCTAACATGTCCAACTTGTCACTTGATGACATTGATATATATATATATATATATATATATAGCACAACCCTTCAAAATACCCCTGTTTAACGGTGTGTTTAGTCTTAAAGATGATGTACTTGTATTAAACTTGGTCTATTTAGCTGTATTAAATAATAATAGTCTGAGCTGAATGAACAAATATGAATACTTATGTATGTATGTATGCCCTTTGTTTTGACAGAATATAATGGTGATGAATTTTATTTGTCCAGCATTATACTTGTTTTTAGAAGTTACATATGTGGTATATTTAGGTAAACCTAAGTTAACCTTTGAGCAATCAAAGAGGTCCACTTAATAACAGGAGATTTGGTCTTTTAATTTCTTAATTTTAAAAAGAAATATTTAAACCAATCCTCAATTTCCCCTGATATGAAAATCATATCTGTTCAGTACATTATTATTCATTAATCCAGTAATTTTTTAACTCCCCCTTTCTGATGAACTGAAGTTAACATAAATTATTCATTATAATATAGATATTACTAAGACAAAGTCTAATTTTTATAGAATTCAATGTTCTTTGTTTATGGAGTCATAATTTAAAAAATCAGATCCACTTATAATGCCCACCTGTCACATCTTCTCTTTCACAAATGACCAATAATTCTCTCTCTGGCATTTTCTATTATACAATTTATCAAATGATACACAATGTTATTTTCAGTATAGAGTATTAGCTATTTCACTTTCAGTTTGAAAGTTTGTATTGTAGTTTTCAGATTGAGTAACTAATTTTCAAATTAATAAAACTATTTTTAATCTTAACATGAAAATCACTTTGCAATTGTACTAGTCAACACTCTAAAAGTGTGGTATATGAGCATAACATGCTTTTCTACTGGTATATGAACATAACATGCTTTTCTACTGGTATATGAGCATAACATGTTTTTCTACTGGTATATGAGCATAACATGCTTTTCTACTGTTGTGAATCTATTTCACAACAGAATTCATACACTCCGACAAACATTCATCAATAATGGATATAGTAATACCACATTCGACAAGACACTTCAACGATACCTGGACAGCTGCCAAAAAAACACCACTACCGACAACTCCACTGAACAACTCAAAGTCTACAATAAAAACCAATTCTCCACTGCATACAAGACAGACGAACGGATTCTAAAGGATATCGTTTACAAAAATACTACACCAAAGAAACAGAACACAAAACTGCAACTCAACATCTACTACAAGTCTACCACAACGTCGGACCTTATCATGAAAAACAGCCCTGCTAAAAAGACAACAGATCTACAGCAAGTGAACGTCATTTACGAGTACAAGTGTAATAAAGGAGACTGCGAGCTCCTGGCAAACGCCTCCTACATCGGAATGACTACCACAACCCTGTCAAGACGCCTAACAATGCACTTACAAAATGGAGCCATCAAAGAACATTGTGCCCGCTTCCACAACCAAAAACTCACATGTCAGGACCTAGTACAAAACACC